AATTAAAAAGTTAGGATACAAAACAATTTTAATAATCTATATCTTTTAAGTTATTTTTATGCCCCCACAGAGTGGGAGCATATAGCGTTGCACTTGTCCGTCCGAGTGTCCGTCACGCCGTACGTCTGTCCGTCCGTCCGTCTGTCCGTACGTCCCGAAATCTTGTGAACGCAACTCCTCTTAAACCGGAAGGCAGATTTTGCTTAAACTTCCAGGGATGAACAACCTTAATGTGTAGATGGTAGTAAAGGAAGGAATTTTTGCTGCGACCAAATTTAACAGAATTATGGCCCTTTGTTGATTTTTTCACTATATACTATGTAGAAATCTTGTGAACGCAACTCATCTTAAACCGGATGGCAGATTTTGCTTAAACTTCCAGGGATGAATAACCTTAATGTGTAGATGGTAGTAAAGGAAGGAATTTTTGCTGCGACCAAATTTAACAGAATTATGGCCCTTTGTTGATTTTTTCACTATATACTATGTAGAAATTTTGTGAACGCAACTCCTCTTAAACCGGATGGCAGATTTTGCTTAAACTTCCAGGGATGAACAACCTTAATGTGTAGATGGTAGTAAAGGAAGGAATTTTTGCTGCGACCAAATTTAACAGAATTATGGCCCTTTGTTGATTTTTTCACTATATACTATGTAGAAATTTTGTGAACGCAACTCATTTTAAACAGGATGGCAGATTTTGCTCAAACTTCCAGGGATGAACAACCTTAATGTGTAGATGGTAGTAAAGGAAGGAATTTTTACTGCGACCAAATTTAACAGAATTATGGCCGTTTGTTGATTTTTATGCCCCCACAATGTGGGAGCATATAGCGTTGCACTTGTCCGTCCGTCCGTCCGTCAGTCCGTCCGTCAGTCCGTCCGTCAGTCCGTCCGTCAGTCAGTCCGTCCGTACGTCCCGAAATCTTGTGAACGCAACTCCTCTTAAACCGGATGGCAGATTTTGCTTAAACTTACAGGGATGAACAACCTTAATGTGTAGATGGTAGTAAAGGAAGGAATTTTTGCTGCGACCAAATTTAACAGAATTATGGCCCTTTGTTGATTTTTTCACTAGATAACTATGTAGAAATTTTGTGAATGCAACTCCTCTTAAACCGGATGGCAGATTTTGCTTAAACTTACAGGGATGAACAAACTTAATGTGTAGATGGTAGTAAAGGAAGGAATTTTCGCTGCGACCAAATTTTACAGAATTATGGCCCTTTGTTGATTTTTTCACTAGATACTATGTAGAAATTTTGTGATCGCAACTCCTCTTAAACCGGATGGCAGATTTTGCTTAAACTTACAGGGATGAACAACCTTAATGTGTAGATGGCAGTAAAGGAAGGAATTTTCGCTGCGACCAAATTTTACAGAATTATGGCCCTTTGTTGATTTTTTTCACTATATACTATGTAGAAATTTTGTGAACGCAACTCCTCTTAAACCGGATGGCAGATTTTGCTTAAACTTCCAGGGATTAACAACCTTAATGTGTAGATGGTAGTAAAGGAAGGATATTTTGCTGCGACCAAATTTAACAGAATTATGGCCGTTTGTTGATTTTTAGTTTTCAACTTGTGGCACATGTAGTCCAAAAAATATTTGACCTAGAGTCATAAGATTGACAGAACAGTGGCGTGTGGGGGCATCAGTGTCCTATGGACACATTTCTAGTTTAAAGTTTATTTCCTCATTTAAGCAGTAGAGATTGAAACAATTAAAGATTTTTTCCTACATGTTTGAAATCAAAACTAATGTTGTGCTGACTTAATATTTTGCACTCTTCCTGGAAAGTTGGAGAAAAGTGTCAGACAATTAGTCTGATAAGCCATAGTATTTTGTCACAAAATATTGTTGGACCAACACAACAAATCAAGGTTTTTAGGAAGATGGGGGGGGGGGTGATTTAGATTTGCCTTTGTCTGTGCATCCATTCCACAATGTTGTCACATGTAACTTAAAAAGCGCTAGTGCTAGAGTCAACAAATTTAGAGAATGTTGATCAACATGTGAAGTTGCACTTAGGAATTATAGTCCTATTGGTTACTTAAATTACTCCAAAGATAAAATCTTCCTAATGGAGATAAAAAATAATCACTTCAGTCTTGTGTCTTTAATCCTGCAATATGTAATTTTCATGTGAAATAGTGTAGAATGGCGGATAATTAAATATAAAAATGCTGTATAATTGACATTCATACATTAATAAATCTTATGTATTAACTTACTTCATGTCATTATAATAATATATTGTAAGGGCATTAATAATTTTTGTGCCCCCACTTTAGTGGCGGGCATTTAGATTTACCCTTGTCCGTCCGTTCTTTTTTTGTGTCGCACGTAACTAAAAAAGTATTTGACCTAAAGTCATTAAACTTTACAGTTTGTTGATCAGCATGTGTAGTTGTGCACCTGGGTATTTTCATAGAGTCATTAAACCTTACGGAAAGGTTGCTCAGCATAATTATTTAGTTTTGTACCTTGGGTTTCGCTTGTGGATTTATCCAGTATTTGTAGAAAACTTAAAAAGTCTTCTTTTAAAAAAACCAACGAGCTAGACCTTAGATGTTTAGCAGGAAACATCTTCTAATGAGTGTCTACCAAGTTTGTTCAAATAAAAGCCCTGGGGTTTAAACTGGCCCCGCTCCAGGGGGCCAATATAAAGGTGAGTGACTCCAGAGCTATCATGGCCCTCTTTTTATAGTGTTTAGCTCAAAAAGTATTTGACCTAGAGTCATAAAACTTTACAGGAATGCTGGTCAGCATGTGTAGTTATGAACAGGGGTTTGCTTGTTGATTTATTCAGTATGTGTAGAGTTATTGCCCTTGACTTAGTAAAACATTTTCAATTTTCAACTTGTGTGATGCATAACTGTAATTTACAATTATTGTACTTGACTGTCACATTTACAAACAGTGTAAGGAATATGGCACATTATAAATATACCTGAAAAAATGTAATAAACAAAGAAAATAAAAGTATTGTTATGGAGAGGGAGAGTCAAGGTCTATGAGGGTTAAACTGAGGTAAGAGTCATGATAAGGTTGGGTTTTCTGGTTGAATAATTTTTAGGTGAGTTATGGCCCTTGGAAATAAATAAAACACCCAGCATATTGGCGTGTTGATGTTTTTTTTCCCTCTCCTGCTACAAAGTAGCTGCAACATGCTGCAAAGTAGCATTGAAGGAATATTAACTGGTCAATCACTCTTCAGTACTTCATATTCTGACATGTAAAGCCACTCTGTCATGCTGCAACAAGTAAAATGTATGATCACATGCTTCATAGAAGCATAGATAAAAAAGCACTTTCTGTAATCTATATGCAACATGCAGGAAAGGAAATCTTATTCTGGCTACTGTTGCCTATTGTAATACTTGGTCTTCAGCATAACTGTTTACTAACATTGACTAAAATATCAAAGCCTTAAAGCAAGTTCTTCTTACTACAGTCACCTTAAAGCAAGTTATTCTACAGCTACCTCAAAACCAAATTATTCTACAGCTACCTTAAAGCCAAGCAAATTTTACAGCTACCCTATAGCCAAGTTAGTCTACAGTTACCTTAAAGCCAAGTTATTCTACAGCTACCCTATAGCCAAGTTATTCTACAGTTGCCTTAAAGCCAAGTTATTCTACAGCTACCCTATAGCCAAGTTATTCTACAGCTACCCTTAAGCCAAGTTATTCTACAGCAACCCTAAAGACAAGTTCTACAGCTTCTTAAAGCCAAGTTTTTGTCTGTTCTGTACGGGAAACCAGTGTAAGACTTTTACAATCTAATAGTGATAAGAATGAACTATTGCTCTTTATTTGTTGGGGGAAAAAACAAGAATGTGATACTGGGTGGCATTCATAAAATACATTGTGATCACTTTTTATTCCAGAAATTCATCTGAAATGCAAAACTTTTTCATTCTTGCATTTAGGCTTGAATTGCTGAGATTGTAGCTGTAGCTGACCTCATTTTAGTACTGGGCATTAGTGCATTCAGTACTTTGATTTTTTACACTTTACTTAAAAGAAATTTTTACCAGGTATACACTCAATAAGTAAGTCAGACTTTCAAGAATAAGTAAAGTCGGACGAAAAAATGCTTTTTTAGTACATTTCAATCTCCCTTAAGGCTCTCAAGAATGTTGTTTTTCAGGCATAAATTGTCCTTAGCTAACCGCATAGTTTACGGTTACCCTTGTTTTTATGGAAATTGCATAAATTATATAATATTCTTTTCATTTTTTGATCATAAATATCATGATACAATTTTAAAAAATGTCACATAAAATATCATCTGAAATAGTTCCTTTGCAATATAAATCAAATAGGGAAAAAAACAATGAATATTGTATTTCTTATCAGTTCACAAAAAAATAACAGAAATTGTGCAATTTTTATATTCATAAAAACATTTTTATATAGCTTTTTGTCCTTAATTCTAGGCAATTCAAGCTCTACCTTTTTTTAAAAAAAATAAAGGTTTTGAAGCATTTCTGCATTCGTGTCATTCATTACTATATTGGTCATAAATTTTACGCCCCAAAGGGCAACATATTAAAGTCACACTGTCTGTCCGTACAAGATGCAAGGTCAAGAGGTCAAAGTGGTAATGTTGCTATATATAGCACTTCATTTCACAGGAGCATGTTAAAAAATTATGTTACTTTTATTCTCTCTTCTTCACATAATACCTCTCTGCACTTATTGGTAGCATCTGCCACTATTGCATGACACCTCTTGTTTTATTTCTAAATGAACTGTGTTCTTCCTCTGATGTGTTTGGATTTTGAAATAAGAAAAAGTGGAGCATAGCCCCAGCTTGATGGTGGCTCTTGCACTTTTTTTTCATTTTCAAACAAAAAAAATTACTGCTCTAGGGATCATTATTTTAAAATAAAGTTGCCTTGACAAGGTCCAAACTTTCAATTAGAGATCTTTTTATGTACAAATCATTGGTATTTGAGATTATGTAAACTAATAAGCACAACATGACCCTACACTTTATGTCACTTTAATAAAAAAAAACTTTTTGTAATGCTTTTCAGGGATGACCCTAAAGAAATGCCAGCATTAGTGGGAGCTAACTCAGCAAAGACTGACTGTAAAATTTCTATCAAGGGAGACAATTTGTTTGCAGCTGTAAGGTATGTCATTTCTCTTTATACAGGAGAGGACAATATTTGGATAACTTCATACAATAACTATACCTGCCTACATTTTGTGTTGTTTCCCTTTATCAGAATTACTTGTAAAACAATGTCTGGAGCATAACTCCAAAAATACTAGAGGGTTTTTTTTTTTCGACAGAATACATTTGGTGAAAGTTCAGTGTGTAGGTACAATAACTCTGCTTTGCTTTCTTTTAGAGTTCCTCCCCTTTATTTGATTTAATTGAAAAACGTTTTGAAGCATTACTGTTAAAAGTACTGGAGTGATGTTCTTCAAAGTTAATTCACTGACATAGCATATTGGTAGGAAGTGCAGAGTGCAAGAACAGTAACTCTATCTTGCCTAATATGAGAGTTATCCCCCATAGGATTCTTTCATGTGAGGAAACTATCCAGCTAGCATATAGGAGGTCAGTGGTTCTACTACGGTGCCCTTTTTCCAAAACTGAAAAGTCACCATATATATATGTGACTGGGACACTATAGATTTGACTTGATGCCTATGAGAACAAAATGCACCAGTGTTTATCTAGAAAAGAGATTTTGTATGGAAGTCACCACTGTTAACATTTCCCTTCACTTACAGTGATTTTTTTTACAAACTCATCAGTGTGGGTCCTAGGACTTGCTGGGCTATAAATCTACGAGTCCCAAAATTTAGCCGATAAATTCAAGTTACAAGGCTTAATGCTTTAGTGATATGAAAGGTATATTAACAATGGAATGAAGAAAAAATGAACTTGATTTCTACATTAATTAAAATGCTTCTGATACTGAAATTGTTCAAAACTGTATAATAAATTTTATAAGTTTATTTCCATTAATTAAGTTTGAGATTAATCAAAACTTCATTTTCCTGAATATTTTTATGCTTATCTATAGTATAGCACATTATTATTTCTTATCTGTAGAAGAATTGCAGACCTAGAATATGATTGACATAACTTGAACACAATTTGGTATTTATTACCAAATTCCTATCAGACAGGACTCCCTACTTAGAAAAAGTATGCATCCAAAAGATGCACATTATTTGAAACTTTGCATCCACAGCAAATTCGATGAGTCCTGGACTAAGGATGCAGAGGTAAAAAAATCACTGCATTGTATCTACAATATATCAAATTACTTCACATTTAGTGCAGTTATAGGCAAACATGCTCTAAATCCATGATTATTATAGTATAAGACACAATCATGTTTATTGTTCCTAAAGAAGAAAAATGGATGCATTCCAGATGTTCCTTCTTGCTGTCTGCATGACAAAGAAATGAACAGCAGTCTTAAAGTTTAAAATGACAAAGAAATGAACAGCAGTCTTAAAGTTTAAAATCACACTGATAATTATATAACTTAACCATAAGTCTTCTGGTAGTAACTGAATCTGCCCATGCAAAACAATTCAATTAATATTTAGGGGCATCTGTGGCAGAGTTGTTAAGGTAATTGACCTCAAATCACTTGCTCCTCATGGCTGTGTGTTTCGGTTCCCGCTTTTCCTGTTAATGACTTTGGATTTTGATATGTAAGGAAGATACCCAGCCAGTTTAGGAACATTGATGGTTCTAAAGTCAGGTGCCCATCCATGCCTGTAATAGTGTATGGATGGGCAGCTGCCAGTTAAGCTGGAAAATTGCCATATGACCTCAGATAAATTTCCCCCCCCCCCACCCATACACAGACACACCCACTCTCACACATACACCTAGAAATAACAAGAACAACATAAAAACTACATATGAACTTATGATAGCTGCTTTAAAGGCTTTTATAGGTTACAGAAATCATAAATTTGTTGTAAAATATTAGGAGAGTTATTCTAGGAAAACTTAATTAGGATCGATGATTTATTTATCCAGTCCATATAGACATAAAAGGTTCTTTTTCAGAATTAACCGCATGTCAGAAAAAAGCAAAAAAAATATAAAATAGTCAATAACAGCAAAATTGAAGCTTATTTCAGGATAAAGGGGGAAAAAAATAGATAAATAAAAAAAAAGAAATCTTTTTACTTATTGCTGTAAATATGTTTGCTTATAAATATGTAAATAACTGAATATAGGCTCTATAGATGATATACAAACTGTATATCTATAGATCATTTTGTTCTACGATTTCAGTGCCTACATTGATGATAAACTAAAATCTAAAGAAGTCAGTGCAGGCGATAAAACTAAGTTGAAAGAATTATCAGAGAGACTTCAATCATGTGCCAAGAAGAATAAGCAAACATTAGAATTGAAATCTAAGCGAATAAAGGAACGAGAGAAGAAAGTTGTGTGTAAAAGTTTTCACAGATGTGGAATTGTCGTGCCAGTTGACGAAAATGAAGTCGGTTATCGAGAAGTACCGGAAACACCTGGTAAGATAGATGGAGGTGATCCGGAATGGATCTTTTCCTCTTATTTAGGTTACCTGAGTAAACTCTGGTGGCCTATTGCTTAACTATTTTGCTGAATATTCGAGCTAATGCAGTCACCCATTTGTCAGCGACCCTGTTGTTAAGTTTTTGCGTGTAAGCTGGTATCTCCATAACTACTGAAGGGAATAGATTGAAACTTTACACACTACTTTTCTGTGATTATTTAACATGATTGGCACTAGGCCCAAAACTCGATTTGCTTTTTTCCATAATAATGTCTCTCTTTGACTTAAAAATTTTTGGTTGTAATTTTGCATGTAAGCTGGAATCTCCTATTGAAGGGTTTGTGCCTTTTTTTTTTTGACAATTTAATGCATTCAAAATAATCAAGCAGTGATTTCATACTCGATAAAACATCTTCATAATTAGCCTTTACCTTTTTGGAGCAATTTTAAACCTTAAAAATTGATGCAATCTTTGAAAATCTTTTTTACTTGGGAATCAAGCAGTCAAACTGTTGGCATGATTGTAATAAGCATTGAGCTCCCTACCAAAAATTGTGAAATTCATGACCCCAGGGTCTGGGGTTCTGGTGCTAGGGCGGGGCTCTGTTAAATATATAGTGAAAGTACATTGTTTCATAAAAAATCTTCTCCTCTGCTCCTGGGCTTTTAGGAAACAAAGTAATTGCATAGTTATGAGAGAGATAATAGAATATTAAGGACTATATTTTGAAGAATTAGGAACTATGAGCATAGTCCAATGTCACTGCTTCATTCTGCAGACCTTTCTGGTCCTGCATTAATTTTATGACAACATGTCCCGCGTGTTGGTAGGCGAGGTGGTGGTGTAGCTATCATCCATAAAGCTTCTATACAAGTCACCACTGAGTCGTCAAGTCAAAGCAAGGAATTCTCACAATTTGAGTTCATGGATTGTAATGTAGTTATTGGGCGGTACTCTCTGAGGCTAGCGGTAATATACAGACCACCTCCTTCTAAACAGAACGGCTTGAATACAAACACTTTCCTTGATCATGAGTGGCCCCTTTTCTTAACTAAGTACGCTACAGTTGACAATTCTGCAATCATAGTAGGCGATCTGAACCTTCATCTAGATATACCAGACAACAATGATACGAGAAAATTTACAAGTAACCTTGATGCATGTGGTATGCATCAGCATGTACAAGAACCAACCCATGTTGCAGGTCATACTTTGGACGTAGTGCTATCAAGGTAAACATACAACATTGTATCAAACATAGAGGTCGTAGATCCTGGACTCTCTGATTCTATTGGAAATATCTTGACGTTGATTCGGAAAACGGAGTTCTTCAACAAAGAGTGTATCCCTTCTGACATAGATGGTTTTATGATGGAGTATTCAGACAGACAGTCTAACCTCTATTTTGGATAAACATGCTCCGATGATTAACAAGACTATTACATTTGAGACCTGCTTGTCTGTGGTATAAAGAGCAACTCCACGAAGCCAAGAATGAAAAACGCAAACTGGAACGGAAAACTAAACTTACAATAGACCATCAGATCTACAGAACACACTGTTCTAGTGTTAACAAGATGTTAAAACAAGCTCGTGTAGAATACTATACAAGTAAAATAGAGTCTTGTGGCAATGATCATAAAAGTCTATCTAAGATTACCAAAGGTCTACTTGGAGATACAAATGAAGTGATTCTACCATTTGATTCATCTTCAGAGCGCCTTGCCCAGAAATTCAGTGACTTCTTTATCGGAAAGATTGAAAGAATAAGGAATAACATACGTTCTCAAACACAATCGGTACCGGATAATGTAGATATGGAAACTGAATATACGGGTGTCAAATATACTGTGTTTGCTCCAACCACAGAGCAAGAAGTGAAAGCATTGATTAAAAAATCAGCCACCAAATCCTGTGAGTTAGATCCCATTCCAACATGGCTGTTAAAAGAATGCCTAGATGAACTAACACCAGTGATAACCAGTTTTATAAACGTGTCCTTGGATGCTGCTTATGTACCAAAAATGTTCAAACACTCACGAATAAGACCACTTCTAAAGAAACCAAATCTAGATCCTAACGAACTGAAAAACTATAGGCCTGTGTCTAACTTGCCATTCCTGTCTAAAATCTTGGAAAAGGTCGTTGACGTACGACTTGAGATCCATCTGAAGACAAATAATCTACACGAGGTCAACCAATCTGCTTATCGCAAGTTCCATTCGCCCGAGACTGCATTGTTAAAAGTTCAAAATGACATTCTACGGTCTTTGGATAATAACAATGTGACTATTCTCGTGATGCTTGATTTGTCTGCTGCTTTTGATACAATTGATCACGGAACGCTCCTTCGCCGCCTTGAACGACACTTTGGAATTACAGGCAAGCCACTCGCATGGATGACGTCATACCTGACCGACCGATACCAGACTGTATGCATAAACAACAAACTATCACAGCCAGTCCACATGGAGTACAGTGTACCTCAAGGGTCTGTCCTGGGACCCAAGAGCTATGTGATGTATACGAAACCTGTCGGAGAAATCTGCCGTAAACATGATCTAAACAACCATTTCTTCGCAGATGACTCACAACTCTATCTATCCTTCAAACCAGTGACTAATATTTCAATTCAAGAGAATATAAACCGTATTGAAAGATGTCTTGAAGATATTGTAAGTTGGATGAATGCCAACATGCTGAAGCTAAACGGCGATAAAACAGAGTTGATCATCTTCTCATCTGAACATAACGCACAACCTGTTTCAGATGTTACAGTAACAGTCGACGGTTCGAAAATTAGCCAATCATCTAGTGTGCGCAATCTTGGTGCATTTCTTGACTCGAACATGAGGATGGAACAACATGTAAATAATGTCTGTAGGAACTGTTATGCACAATTAAGACAAATCGGTCACATCAGACCCTATCTTACTGTTAAAGCAACCAAATCTCTAGTAAATTCACTTGTTACTTCTAGGTTAGACTACTGTAATGCACTGTTATATGGAGTCTCTAAGCAGTCAATGACCAAGTTACAACATGTTCAAAATACAGCAGCTAGAATTGTGACCAAAACACTCAAATATGACCACATAACACCTATCTTACGTGAACTTCACTGGCTTCCGGTAGAGTATCGGGTCGAACATAAAATTTTGACTTATACATATAAATCCCTCATCGATCAATCACCAGCCTATATGAAAGACATGATAGACGTGTACATCCCAGTCAGAAATCTGAGGTCCCAGAATAACTCAATGACATTAGTTGTGCCTAAATCTCGGACAGTACGATATGGTGACAGGTGCTTCCAGACAGCCGCAGCGAAATTATGGAACGCGTTACCACCTGACGTTAGAGACTGTAATACCTTGCCATGTTTTAAGAGAGCTCTCAAAACACATTATTTCATAAAGTTCTTTGGACGTTAGTTCATAAATCATCATACATGTACTACTTTTGCTATATTATCAGTGTTAATTTTAATTGTGCCATGATTTTAAACTAAATGTGTCTGTATTTCTTACCATCCTTTACTGGTTTTAGATTATCATTATTGTTTAATAGGTTTACTTAATTAATGTTGTACATTATGTCTTATATATATATATATGATTATGTTTTATCGGATTTATGTAAAGCACTCTTGAACATTTATTATTTATGAAAAGAGTGCTATAGAAATGTGGTATATAATAATAATAATAATAATATGACAAAAGCCTGATAGGCTTACAATTGCTGTCCTTAGCCATGATTGTTAAGTAGGTACATTCATACATTTAAATAATAAAGGAGCTCCAGAGAGGTTCCAGGGTTGTTTTTTTTTTTTAACTTTATACAATAGAGGCCTTCCCAGATGATTTTTTTTAAAACTTTAAATAGAGCAACTTGGACACTTAAAATGAAAAATGTAAAAAAAGACAAAATAGAAAAAAAGGTGCCATTGTAGCCTAATTTGAGTTTAAAGCATTGACATGCTTATTATGCAAAAACAAAGTGAGAGAATGATATGAAACTTTGCATACAAATTTTTGGTATAGACCAACATCAATGGTATAAATGTCTCAAAAAATAATTTGCAGTCCTGTCTGATCAAAAACCTTCAAAGAGGCTACCATGGATTTAGTAATAAATTAAATTTTGTTTAATAGTGCTACTTTTCTAGTTAAATAAAAATCATTGCTGAAACAGTGAACACCTGGATTAGTCTCTCATCATCTTATTATGTCCCCCTTCGAAGAACAGAGGATATATTGTCTTTTTGCAGCATGATGTTTCTTAATTGGTCTGGCCGCACTACCAAATAGGGATATGGGGCTATCTAACTGTAAACAGAACAAAAGAGAACGATAGACTTCATTCCGTTACTATAGAGGAAGGGGCCAATGGCCCTCTAGTAAACAAAATAAAATAACAATAGTATAGTCCTTTTATCCCAATTTGGTCACATGTCCATCCGTCCCATATTGTCCCTGATATAAACTAAGTCGAGAAAAGCATGGGCCCATTACCCTAAAACTTCATAGACTTCACCAGTAGATGACACTTACTGATTTTTGGGTAAAGGGTTCAGAGGTCAAGGTCACATGCCAAAACAGTTTCCAAGCAACATTGCATGCAACTTCCTGACATGCTGAAGAAGATAAAAGGCATATTTTACAAACTTTTCTTGTTGCTATTTAATCAATCCTCAAACCTGCTGTGGGTTAGAATCCCGACAGGGACTTTGGATTCTTTCATGTGAGGAAGCTATCCAGCTAGCTTACGAAACGTCGGTGGTTCTATTCAGGTGCCAGTTCGTGCCTGAAATAATGCACGGAAGGGCACCTGAGGTCTTCCTCCACCAGTAAAACTGGACCGTCGCCAAATGACCTATACTGTGTCGGTGTGACGTAAAACCCAAACAAACAAACAAATTTAATCAATACTAGTGTAAAATATTGTGAAACAGAAAAAAAAGGATGCCAGGCTGAGTTTATTATATAAGCAAACTCTTTTTCTTTTTTGCAAATCTATATGTTTACACAAAACCTCCTTTTCTTAACACTTAGTCTCATTTTATTTCCGATTTCAGCCGATCTGAAAAGAATGTTTAAAAAGATTGCAGATAGTAAAACCGATGCAGAGCGGGACAAAAACTTTGAGCCACTACAGGAGATAATAACACTTATTCAATTCGCTAATGATGAGTGTGACTATGGTGAAGGTCTCGAACTTGGAATTGATTTGTTCTGTTACGGCGGGGAAACTTTCCATACCACAATTCGGCAGTTGCTGTCACTTGCGTACGATCTGTTAAATAGAGAAGAGTATGGACGAATTATTGAAGCTCATTTAAAACATCGGAAACGGGGAGATGATTTGAGTCAGTTATGATTTTTCAAATAGTCTGATTTATTCTGGCTGTCAAATGTGAAATTGAATATTTTTGGAGGCCTGCCTTTGAAGTAACTGTTGGTTATATTCGGCGTAGAAAAAATAGTTCAGTATAGTAGTCGTGATGTTAACTTGAAGAAGGTTCTAAGTATATATATATATATGTTTTGACCAGTTGGGGATGCTAATTTATCAGTATATAAAAAAAAAAATGTTTTGAACTAATGAAAATTTGTGTATTATATTCTTATATGTTTAGTATTAAAGAGGATTTAGATGTGAAGAAAATGTAATTTTTAAACCCTGTATTGAAAGACAGGATTTAGAATAATTATTGTTATGCAAATGTTGGTAAAAGATTGTACAGTTCTTAATGTGACTTGAAGATGAATGATAAAATGAGCCGCGTCATGACAAAACCAACATAATGGGTTTGGGACCAGCATGGATCCAGACCAGCCTGCGCATCAGCGCAGTCTGATCAGGATCCATGCTGTTCGCTAAGAGTTTCTCAACTTGTAATTGGGTTGGTAAGCGAACAGCATGGATCCTGATCAGACTGTGCGGTTGCACAGGCTGGTCTGGATCCATGCTGGTCACAAACCCATTATGTTGGTTTTTTTGTGATGCGGCTCAAATTATTGATGAAATTCAATTTCTTGCTTTCCTAGTTTGTTAGAAGCTTACTTGAGCACAACATGCTCATGGAGAGTTATTGTGATCCCACTCAGGTCTGTCGTTTGTTATCAACAATTTCTTGAAACAACCTCTCTGAAACCAATGACTAGATATCATCCAAACTACACGGGAATGATTCTTGTGTGGTCACCTGTCAAGTTGAATATATCTTAAAGTTCTTTCTGTACTAATGGTTTATAAATTCCACAATTATCAAAAAAAAAGTATATGATATTGCCAAGTAAGATAACTGTGCCACCCATTTATATGCCCCAACCATATAATGGCTGGGCATATAGTGTTACCCTGTTCTGTCATTCTGTCATTCCGTCATCATCAGTTTCCGTTTATTATCTTAGTAACAGTTGCACACATTCAACTCAAATTTGGCATATGGATATGTCATGAGAAAATACAGGTCAAGTTCAAATTTGGTCATGGTTCGATAATTTTTGGCAGAGTAATGCCCCTTTAACTTTGAAAATAATATGAAATTTTCAGTTTCCATTCATTATCTCCCCAATGGTGTTACACATTCAACTCAAACTTCACATATGGATATGTCATAAGAAAATAAGGTCAAGTTCGAATTTGGTCATGGTTCAATTATTTTTGGCAGAGTAATGCCCCTTTAACTTTGAAAATAATATGAAATTTTCAGTTTCCATTCATTATCTCCCCAATGGTATTACACATTAACTCAAACTTATGGATATGTCATGAGAAAATACAGGTCAAGTTTGAATTTGGTCATGGTTCCATGTTTTGGCAGAGTTATGCCCCTTTTACTTTTAAAATAATATGAAATTTTCAATTTCCGTTCATTATCTCCCCAACACTATTACACATTTAACTCAAACTTGACATTTGGATATGTCATGAGAAAATACAGATCAAGCTCGAATTTTGTCATGGTTCGAAGATTTTTGGCAGAGTTATGCCCCTTATACCATGAAAATAATATGAAATTTTCAGTTTCCATTCATTATCTTCCCAAAGGTATTACCCATTCAACTCAAACGTCACTTATAAATACGTCAGTGGAATGAGCAGGTCAAATTTGAATTTGGTCATGGTTCATTGATTTTTGGCAGAGTTATGTCCCTTTAACTTTGAAAATAATATGAAATTTTCAGTTTCCGTTCATTATCTCCCCAACAGTATTACACATTCAACTCAACCTTGACATATAGTACGTTAAAAGAATGCGCAGGCCAAGTTTGAATTTTGTCATGGTTCAATGATTTTTGGCAGAGTAATGCCCCTATCACCTTGAAAATAATATGAAATTTTCAGTTTCTGTTCATTATCTCCCAAACAGTGTTACATATTCAACTCAAATTTTAAATTAGGATACATCAAAGGAATGAGCGGGTCAAGTTTGAATTTGGTCATGGTTCAATGATTTTTGACAGAGTTATGTCCCTTTCACTTTGAAAAAAAGAAGGAAATTTTCAGTTCACATTCAATATCTCCCCAACAGTTGTACATATTCAACTCATATTAAAGATATGGATATGTCATAAGAATGCATTGGTCTATTTAGAATTTGGTCATAGTTTGATGATAGCTGACAGAGTTATCCCTCTTGAACTTTGAAAAAAAAATCAGAAATTTAAAGTTTCCGTTCATTATCTCCCCAATGGTTGTACACATTCAACTCAAATTTAACATATAGATACATCTTAGAAATAAGAAGTTCAAGTTTGAATTTGGTCGTAGCTCAATGATTTTGAACAAAGTTATCTTTCTTGAATGTTGGAAATGAATTTTGAATTTTCAGTTTCAGCACTCATACTTTTGTGGAAATGTATGTAGCCATTATTTTGGCTTCAAATATGCAATATGCAATTTACAATAGGTTAACACTGAATAGTTTCAGTGCCTTGAACTTTGTATAAAAATGGTTTGTGTTAACATTGAATATTAAGGGCTTTGAAAATATAATTTGTGCAAACAAATTTGGAACTAAATATTATAACATCTGAAACTTTGGTTGCATGCGTGGGCATCCGTGGCGTGACAACACATTTCTAGTTCCCAGTTATTTTCCTGTTCATCACAAAATAGTGCCTAGTATGGTTGACCTTTTCTGGCAAATTGATTTTATCTTAAATTTCTTCTAATTACTTCATTTATTTAATGATATCTTCCATATTTGGTAGGACACTTTAATGATACTCTTAACTGTGGAGTAAAGGGTCACTGGGGTCAAGGTAAATGATGTAAACAATAAATTTTTACATGTTTCCAGATACAGCCTTTATTTTTAAAATGTCTTTTATGTTTCATGTCTAGGTAGGTCTTCTTACTTCCAGTTTAATTAGGAGTCATTCAGGTCAAGATCAAAATCACCAATGCCAACAATAAATGTTTACACTTTTCCAAGTGAAACCTTTATCTACAAATGTCTTTTATATTTTGTTGAGCATAACTGGAGAAGTCTTCTTCCTTTAGATGGAGTTAACTTAGAGGTCAGTTGGATCAACAGTGTTTCAAATAGATTTTTACATATTTGCTCATACAGCCTTTATTTATTGAGAGATATTTATTGTATTTTATATATGGTATGAACATAACTTGCATAGTATTCTTTCTTTGGATTGAATAAGGGGCCAAGGTCATGGGTGACAATAATAGATTCCTACATATTGCTCATACAGCATTTATTTTTTAACTGATGTCTTTCATATTTGGTAGGAATATAACTTGCATGGTCTTCTTCATTTGGATTGTGTTAGGGTTCAGTAGGTCAAGGTTGCCAAAAGTGACTTCTACATATTGGCTTATACAGTATTTATTGACTGATATTTCATATTTTGAGGAAACATTCATTGGATGGTCTATTGTTGGGAGTCACAAGTCAAGGTTATCTGTATTTACAGTAGACTTTTTATACGCCTGTTTGAAAAACAGGACAAATAATAGTTTCCCTCCTTGAGGTGGGCGTCATCCAATTTTTGTCTAATCCGCATTGAGAGGAGTTTAAACAAAACTTCATAGGAATGTTCACCACTGTGAGAAGCAGTGTTGTGCACATGAACCAGGTCTCTAGGTCAAAGGTCAAGATCATACTTAGAGGTCAATGAAAAACGCTTGTCCATAACAACACGTTTGATACCATGAACTCAATTTCATAGAAAAATAACAAGAATGTCTTTGATAAACCCAAATGCCCCCTACCCAAATAACTGTCGGTGACAAATTTTCAAAAACACTCGGTTATGGAAAGAAAATTTGCCAAAAAAAATTGTAAAAAGTTATATAACTCGACAGAGTCATGACCTTTTGTTATTGTGAAAAAATGTAACATTCTTGTGGTATCAGATGTGTAGACCCAATGTCTTGAATTTTGAACTGTAAAATACAAAATGAAATCCTAATATCTTGGCATTTATGTAATTCTACACCATAGCAAAAATGTATGTGTGTGTGTCTACCTATTTATCAGTTTTCATCAATTGTTATTTTAGTGATCTTATAATGACCTTAGGTTTTTTAGAAGATTGTTTGTGGCATCAAATGGAAAAACTATTCATAAGATAATGTTTGGTATAGATTTAAATTACCATTTATAAGTTACAGAAAATTTTTATGACAATATTATTTTAGTGCAAACAGTTGAGATAACTGTAAAATCATAGTGATCATGGATGGCTAATTATTGAAAGTACATGGCAGGTATTGGCTACCCTTGAAAGTTTTTACTGAGCATGACGTCCTCGTGGTATGTTATGGTGACTTGCTGGGTCTGTCTGGTGTTGTGCATTGCCAACTTCTGTTTCAAACAATATCTTGTTCTAAACCATTGAGCCAATGTTGTTGAAACATGGCAGGATTGTTCCTTGCATAAAGCTTTAATCCCCCGTCTTCCATCCGTCCATCCACTCTCATGGGACAGTAATAATGTGGCTAGAGGGACAATAGGTAACTGTTCTTTCTCTTTGATGTCATTCATACAGTTATGCTTTTATGTGGCTATTTTCTTTTGAGTGGCTAAAAAGAACAATAGAGAGAACAATAGAGTAGCCACATTATATGGATAGATCATATTGAGGAGTGCAGTGCACAATAATGATAATTCTACCCTGCATTATTTTCAGTTATTACCCTTTGTTATTTTTCAAACTTAATTTTTGTCCAGAGCATAACTCGAAAAGCCTTTGAGATATCAACATGAAACTTCATGGGTGGATAGATCTCACTCAGGAGGTGTGCAGTGCACAAGAATGATAACTCTACCCTTAATAATTTTTGAGTTATTGCCCTTTGTTATTTTTCATACTTTTTGTCTGGAGCTTATCTCAACTTGAAACTTCAAGGTGGATAGATCTCATTGAGGAGGAGT